CACCACCATAAATGATATCCTAAAGCCGCCACTGTGTTGGACATAAAGTGTATCATGCGTGGTGAGGCATTATGCTCTTAACATTATTATTATTAAGGTTACCGTGAGGGGGTAATGCAGTGTAATCTAATGTAGCTGAATTTATATAACTCTTTATTTAAAAGTCTGAATGTGTTCGAGGTGTGGACTAGTATAGGTTGTACACAAATCTAGCGTATACAATAGAAAGCACCCACCTGCAGGCCTAAACATTTAGACTTGCAGGCCTACCGCTGCAAGTCCAGCTTGACTAGCTTCTACGAGAAGCGAATCTAGTGAAAAATCAGAAGGATACGTATATTATTACAATATCAATCATGCACCATAATTATAATGGCATATTCATAATAACAATCAGTCAATCAACCAATCAATAAATGTCAGTCAGTCAGAGTTAGTCAGTCAATCAATTCATCAATATATCAGTCAACCGATTAATCTGTCAAGTAATCAATCAGTTAGCCTGATGATTGTTGATTTTCAGAGTAGACAAAATGGTTAATCTACTGTAAAATTACTGCATTGATAGTTAGGCTATTATTATTATTATTATTATTATTATTATTATTATTATTATTATTATTATTATTATTATTATTATTATTATTATCTAATAATATAAACTTACCTAAAATAGCGTATGCTTCTTTTAAGCCCGAGCGAACCTTCTTCTTTATTATACTCCGAATCATCTTGTTTACCTTATGAAATACGATCTCGGCATGGACACTTCAGGAGGAGAAAATTGGATGGATTTTTAAACCTATAGTTCAAAATTACATTTTAGCATTAGGAATACGCATCCGGATAATGCGGAAAAGTGAATATTCCTCAATAGTCTTACTTCCCGTTGATAAAATCCAGGTGACACCATAAAAACATCCATCAAAACGTTTTAATTGTCATTAATGTGTTCAAATAAGTTACAATGAGACAGACACCTATTATATTTTTCGACATTTACTGCCTACTAATGGCCTATATTACCAGTCAATATAATACAATAACAATAACAATGTTGTTTACTTACCTCAAGTTACACTTGTTGTCATCGATATCTGTGATGGTCCATCGCTCCAAGATGTGGAAACTATCTGCATACATTACACCTTTGTTTTGAACTTCATTCTCTATCACGTGACAATTCCTAATATCTTTACTCGGGTCGCGTTTCTAAGATTTACATAAACAAATTACATCAATTTAAACCTTCAGTTATGTACTCATCGCTTGCGTTGATACTGTGTGTAGAGATACAGATTACCGGTAGCTAATAATTTCGTCAATGCACAAGAGTACACGCTCATCTCAAAATCTTACCTGTATTTCTGTTACTTGTGACGACGACTTTTTAACTTTCTTTTTAAGATGATAACGATAGCTAACGAGTCTTTTTTCTTTCCCAGATTCCATTTTCCATTTGTCAATTGAGATTTCTGAAGTAAAGCAAACGAATCAAATACCGGACCGGACGAATGAATAAATGCTTGTTAATATTATAAGTCAATCGTGACGTCATCACTGCAACTGTCACTGTTATTTCTTATTCCCAACAGTGCACAGTTTACTCGATCTATTTTCGGTTTATGTGTAAAAGGCCAATAATGCATTTTAAAAAATCTCGCGGGCATTGGACAGTAATATTTCATGAATGATAATAATTGCAGTATTGTTTGTTGTCTTTAAAAAAAAAAGAAAAAAAAAAACAACAAAAAAAAACAATAGGCCCTAGGCCTAATATCCCTAGTAATAAGTCTCTAACCTGTGCATTTCCTTGCTCGTATGTAGCTGAGGTAGAACTCTGAATTGTCTGCGAACATCATATTATAAAGTGTACCACGTGACATATCATAATCCTTTTTCAAATATTCTTTGAATCCAACTTCCTCTAAAAAAAAAAATGGATGTTAAGGCTATATG